TGCCAAAAGTGTATTCCGACCTGACCTATGACTAAGAGACTAGAAGTTTCTCGAACTTTAGTTTGAAAGTGTGCAGCGTCCAGGAGTAACGAATGCGTATGGTAATGCTTCGCTTTTATCGAAGCCGCAGGAATATGCGGCCGCGGGAACGGTAAAACTAAACCTATTCTACCTAAAAGAGGGGTGCGCCGGGTATAGAGCCGCGATGCAGGGGAGATAGATAGAAGGGGTTTTATTTCCTGGACCGCAGGCGTTGACATCGAGCCAGGGGGCTGATAGGTCGATGTCGAAGTCACGCGGCCAACCGACGGGGCGGAGCCTGCCAGCAAAGCCTATTAGGCTTCAGGCAGGCGGGGTCTGCAGAGCCGCAGGCAGTCAGAGCCTGCTAGGCCACCGACCGCTAGGCCGGCTAGACCACAGACGGGCAGGGCCTGCGAGGCCATAGGCAGGCGGGGCCTTCAAAGCCCCGATATGGGGGATAGGGGCAGGGCGGAGCTCTTCATATAGAATAGTTGCTCCTATCATTGTTGTGATAGGAGCAAGCCCAGTATGATACAGTGCAGGACCCTTACCCGATGGATACCGGGGTCGAATCCCAAACGTCGTACCACTGGGCTGGCTCCTTTTGGAGCTGGCCATTGTTGTTTGAGGCCCGCGCGGTTGGATCTGGCTGTCCGATCGTGAAGATCGCGCGGTCCAGATCAGACACGCGAGGATCTGCATGGCCCTGCGTTCCAAGGATGGACTCATAAATCAAAAGAAAAAAAAAAATAATAATAATAATAAATAAATAAAATCTAACTAAGGAGATGCGCCATGTGGCGCATGGGGATCTGACAGGGACTTATAGTCCCTGAGAAGGAGGCAACGGACGTCGGCTTATTCAGGTAAGCTTTTTCGTTTTCGTTTGTTTTGTTTTTTTTTTTTTCTAGATTTGTTTTAGATTTTTTTTTTCTTTTTTTTTCTTTTATGTCTTGTCCAGCAGTCGTTCGTTTTGGTGAGCGAACCGCTGGGCCGAGATCCCGCCATATGAAGTAAGGGGGACTTGAAGTCCAAGAAGGTGCTGGCTCAATTTTTAGCAGAACTACCGGAACTGCTGCCGGATACGCATAATCTGGTCATCTGTGCAAATTGGAATACAATCTTAAACCCTGGCCTAGATTCGCCATTAGTATCTAATTTGCGCAGGGACTCCATGCTTCTTCATGAATTTATGGAAGTTTATGATTTAACTGACGCTTATAGAGTCTTGAACTCAGAGCTATCCGAGTATACTTGGTTTGGCTTCTCAAGTGGAGCCCTGTCTGCCCGCCGATTAGACTACGTCCTGATGCGGGGATCCCCATGGGACTGTTGTCTGACAGCGGAGGTCAAAACCTCATCCCTGTCTGACCACTCGCCTGTCCGTTTTGAAATACAGTTGGGGGGTGGAACCGACAAAGGGCAGGGTCTGTTTCGCTTGAACGTTACTCACTTGGAGGATGCGGCTCTGAAGGATTGGCTGAGCCGGATCATTTCAAACTGGGAAAAAACACGCCACCTCTGCTCTAACCCACAACAATGGTACGATGGGGTGATGGCGGCAATTCAAGAAGCATGCAGTACTTATTCAAGAATTAAGAGTGGTACTCAGAATAAGCAGATCAGACAATGGCAGACAAAAATAACGACAGCAGAACAACTTTTGGGCAGACATCCTGTTCCGGATTTGTACTGGATACAGAAGCGCTCTGTAGCCCTGTCAAACCTGGAAGCACATGAAATCAAGATGGAGGAACAACAGAAAGAATGGTTGCGAATCAGAGGAATGACTCATTATGACCGCTTGACAAAAGAGACATTTCAAGCATTAATGAAATCCGTGGCTAGACCTTTGATGAAAGAATTGAACCACCCTTTCTCCTTGACAGAACCTGTAGCAGAGAGTTCTATTCAAATGTGCCAGTATGCAAGGGAGTACTTTAGTGATATTCTGACTACCTGGCGGCCTTTTGACCAACCGGATACAGACCTGAGAGATTTCTCAGATTTCTGGATTTTCTCTAAAAAAACACTCCCTCTACACGCGACACTACATTTGGACCGGCCTTTAACTGTGGCTGAACTCGAAAGTGTAGCGCATTTGATGGCCAAGGGTAAAGCTCCCGGGCCTGATGGCCTGCCGATAGAGTTCATTATAGCCTTTTGGGACTTCTTTGGCCCTCTTCTATCGAAACTATTTACTAAAGTGTTGATTGGGGAGTCGCTCCCCAGTTCCATGATCGAGGGAGTCATATCAGTGCTTTATAAAAAAGGAAGTAAAAAGGATATTCGAAATTGGAGGCCTATATCACTTCTTAATGCGACATACAAACTGTTAGCTAAAGCTATTGCCCTACGCCTGGCTAATTATTTACCATTGCTTATAGGACAGGAACAAGGGGCTTTCGTCAAGGGTCGGTCGATTCATGAGAACATAATCACAACTCTCCAAGCTATTGAAATTATAGTAAAGGAGAAGAGAGATATTGCAGTTATTCTTTTAGACATGGAAAAAGCATATGATAAAGTGGGTTGGACTTTCGTTCAAACCACTTTGAAGCATATGCATTTTGGCCCAAACATCTATTCATAGGTACGAGCCATGTATTCTAAAGCAACAGCAAAAGTCATGGTGAATGGTCACTGCTCTGACCCCCTCCACTTGTCCCGTTCATTACGACAGGGCTGCCCTTTGGCCCCCCTGCTTTTCGTAATCCACCTTGAGGTTTTGCTCGATAACATTAGACATAACCCGCAGATATCGGACCTTAAAATCTCCAGAGGTGTTGAGTGGAAAGCAAGGGCCATTGCAGATGACCTCACAGTCTGTGTAGAGAATAGCCCTCAAGTTCTTGCTGAAGTGCAGAGTGTACTAACAAAGTATTGCGAGTTAGCCGAAGCCTCAGTAAATTGGTCAAAATCTTCTTATTTATTGCTCTATCCCTATCATCTGTGTGTGGACTGGGGTATGAAGAGTGTTCCAGGCAACTCTTCGGAACGTTTTTTGGGGATTCAAGTTTCTACTTCAAATTGTTCTGCCTTTCAGGATCAACTACTGGTGGAAAAAGTGGCAACACGCATCTCCAAGTGGAATAGGCCTTTTCTCTCATCTCTCTTTGATAGATCCCTGCTGTTAACAGGCGCTGCCTTTTCGTTATTATGGTATGTACTGGCAGTGCACCTTCTGGGGGAAGATGCTTATAAGGGTATTACGGCCAAGGCTAGAAGATTGATCTGGAAACCATTTGCGTTGGAAGATCATGGCTACCTTTCAAAAGTAGTGACCTTCCCCCGGAATGAGGGAGGCCTGGGCATTTTGGATCCTAAAAGGCAAAATCTTGCCTTGCTTGCCAGGTGGCCCATTCGGGCGATGGCGGAGACTGAAGACAGGCACTGGATAGCGTTGGGGGAATATATCCTAAGTAAGGAGTGAGATTTGTGTAACCCATCAGATGTGTGGAGTTGTTTCATGCTGAATTCTTATTCTAACAGGCACCCGAATTCAATTTTTTGGAGAGCGGTCCTGGCAGCGTGGAAGAAACTCAGACCCACAGTTCACTATGAGCCTACATCTACGGCAGAGGTTCTAGAAGAACTCTTATTTGAGAACCAGTATATTGTGGACTTACAAGGGGTACCTTTCTCGGCCACAAATGAGCCATGAAGCTTCGGGAGATGTTGGATGGAAAAGGGAATTTGTCGGATAAAAGATATTAGGATGGCGGACAACTCGGACTGGCTTACAGAATGGGACTTGCAGGCACGTTATCCGTACCTCAGAGATGCAGGTTTGAGGCTCCATTCTTTGTGTGCAGCAATTTCACCTTACTGGAACTATTTGGTGGGATCTGATTTAACACCGGCAGAAGATAGATGGTATAAAGGGGAGCAGTGTTACTCAGCACATACCTTTTTTAGAATAATTGGAGGGGCTCAGGGAAGTCCTCCACTTCTGCAAACATGGATATCTGAGGTCAGCTAGGAAGAAAAGCTCCCTCTCAGGTTTGAATCAGAAGCTTCAATCACAGGACCATTAGAGCTAAGGCAATGTAGAGTTCTCATGAATATTGATAATCATGGGATACCACACCCTCGGGTGAAATTCGGGGGTTCAACCTTGTCGTCTCTCGAGGTGGACACTACTCGCTGGGCTTGGGGCGGTACGACTCAGGGCCATAGAGTCGAGTGCCCTATGTATCTCTATACATCTAAGATTGGCACTAGACTGTTGAGGGATAGGGCTCCTCTGTCTCCCTATGAGCTGGTTAGCAAGCATAGACAACAACTAGGTTTGGCAGTTGATGATAAGGCAACTCAGGAGAAGCACTGGCGGTTACTGATGAAACTTCCGTCGGAAAGACTAGGAAGTTTATTGTGGCAACAATCCTTGTTGGTTATCCCAACAGCAACCCTTTTGGCAGGCAGGGGAATGAATATCTCAACTATTTGTCCTAGATGTCAGTGGGCATGGGAAACAAACTGGCATCTGTGGGTGGACTGTCCTTACTCCAAAAGAATTTGGTCATGGTGGAAGAGACATTGGGCAAAGCTGCTATGGTATACCTTCATTTGGAGTGAAGACTTTATCTTAATTGGTATCCCAATGCTGCAGAATAGAAAGGACAACGTCTCTTGTTATGTAGCACAAACCTTCAGAGCCATTATTATGTCAACTATTTGGCATGAAAGGAACTCTCATGCCTTCAGGCAAGAACGCTGTGAGGATATCCAGTTGAAAGTTAGGATAAGGCTTTTAGGAAGGCACTGCGTTTGGTCGGATTGGCATCATAAAGCAAAAAGGGGACAGCTCAGAAAGGGGCCCATCTGGTTCTGGAAGACTTGGGGAAAAAACAGTTGTCTGGTGAAGCCAAGGCCGAACGGTGGTCTGGTTCTTTCACCATGGTTAATGAATACGTCGCTTCAGACTGTTTCGGTGCTCCACTAGGTTATCGTGGTTTTCGGGCCGGTATAGGCCATTTTTGGAACTACAGGAGATAGTCATTAAGACTAGCTTCTCCGTTTGTGCTTCACATCGTCCGAAAGGAAGGAATATAGCATTCCTTGTGTTTCGTCTGGAGCCTTAAGGTATTAATTATTCTGAGTAGATCCTAAAGCAGATTTGTGTTTGGGCCTAACTGCGTATGTCAGTTTTGATCTTGATTGTGCTTCAAGGCGTAGTTTGGGAAGTTGGTTTTGATTGGGACGCTGGACCCGGTTTCCAGCAGGTTTATTATTGTTTGTGTGGTAGTGCTGGTCGGGTGGGCAGTTGCTAAGCCCATAAGCGAAACTGGCTGAGGCTGCCAGGTTACTCCGGGTTGAATTGTGAGGTCCCCGACCTCTTTCCATTGTTCTGTAATTGATTGTACAACTTCCCCAAAAAAAACAGAAGGTGTTGACGCCCGTTTTAACGGGCGATCGTTTTGCGAGGTAAGCATCTCTTCCTTTTTTATTGTATTTTGTTTTCTTGTTTTCTTATATTTTCTTTAAGTTTTCTTAGATTCTTTTTAGATATTTTCTTAGTTCCTTTTTATGACCCCCCCCTGTTTTCCTGAAAACTGCACCCATTCGCTGTGGAGAAACGGGTCACAGTCTCCATAGAAAAAGTGCCCGAATCCGGTACTTATATTGTACCAGATGCGGGCGCGCTGGGGAAAGGGGATCCCAGAGAGAGAGAGAGAGAGACCCTTTGGAGAGTGCCCGTTCGTTTTGGAGACGGGCAACTCTCCTTGGCTGCGCGCCTGTATCAGGAACTTCTTTGGCCCAGATACAGGCGCAGGGCAGGAACCCCCCCTTCTTGCTGAGAATGATTTAGGGACGAAAAGGAAGGGGTGGTCGTTCGTTCGAACGGCGAACTGCCCTTACATAA